AACCGCCAGCCTTCTGGTGAGCAGTCAAGTGCTTTAGGCACTATGCTACCAGAGCTTTAGGACAGAGTAAAACTATCCTATAGGGTTTCCAAGACTGTAAATCTTTACCAAAGCAGACTACCACACTTCTTTCCCACTTAGTCATATTACATCATTTAAATATCAGTATCTTGTGTTCATTAAGTATGTGAATCAGCTATGAATCCTAACCTATATAAGATTCTAAAGCTTCTAGAAGAACATTGAGAATCAGTAATAGAAAACACAAATTGTTCCCCTAATGAGGTAAAACTTGGAGAATACTGGGTATCTCTAAGAAAAACAACAAACTTCAGCACGCAGAGCCTGTATTTTGATCTGAAAAACCCTGAGCTTTTATTAGTGGGTTCAATTTACTTACAAATAGGGACCCTGAGTAATCTATGGCTCCCAACACTCCTGGCCAGAAGCAGATATCAGCTTTGTATGGAGCTCTGGTAGCATAGTGCCTAAGGCACTTGACTGCTCACCAGAAGGCTGGTGGTTCAAACCCACCAACCACTCCCCGGAAGGAAGGTTGGGCAATCCTACTTCCGTAGTGATACTGCCTCGGAAACCCAAGGAGGGGGTCACTATGAGTCGGGGCCGACTCCACGGCAAACAACAACAACAATGCTGGGATTTGGAGTCTACGAAAGAGTCGTTCTCTTCAAAAAGGCGGGATGGCTAATACTGGGAGAAGTAGTGAGGTCTGAGGGAGCCTGGGGGTGCGTACACCCCGCAAGCTGCAAGTAACCACTACCACGTGTAAAACCTTTCTAACAAGGGCAGCCTGGCGCTCTGAAGTGTCGCGAGATCCTGGCGCGGCCCAATCGAACGCCGGGCCGAGCTGGTAACTAAGGGCACTTCTTGGGGGCGGAGCTTTGAGGGAGGTGGGCGGGCTTCGGAGGCGCCTAGAGTAGTGGCGTTTGGGCCCCTTGGCGGCTGTGGGGAATTTAGCCGTGGCCATGAAGGAGGAAAAGGAGCATAGGCCCAAGGAGAAGCGAGTAACCCTGTTAACACCCCCGGGGGCAACAAGCAGCTGCGGCGGGGCTTCGGGAGAAAGCGGCAAGGGGGAAGATAAACAGGATCGCAACAAGGAGAAGAAGGAGGCGCTGAGCAAGGTGCTAGGCCGGCTGTTGGTCTGTGAGAGGGTGGGTCGGGTCTGCCGCCCACACAGGATGGCTGAGAATGGAGCTGCCCCTCTTTCTGTCCCAGTCTCCCCCTCAGTCTCTCCGCCTGAGTGAAAATCACACGACTCTAGCTCATCTACTCGCCTAAAATGGGGGAAGCCTCTCGCGGCCAAGCCCCGGGGTGGGAGTGAGGGAAGGGGAGCTCCCCAAGCAACAAGGGTTTGGGTCAGAGCTGTGAGGTGAATTATCGGGAGCCGGGGCGACGGTGAAGAGAACGGAGAATTAAAAGGTTTGTTAAGGATAATTATTAAGTCATGAAGGGGACCTCGGGAGTGGAAATAGTTTGTGGTAGTATTAATGGAGGCGAGTAGGGGAGATTAGTGGTCTTTGTAGGGGGGATCGGGAGCACCCTATTTTGGGAGTAATAGGTGAATTTTGTTGTACTCAATCGTTAAGAGTTTTGAATTCTTTAAATTCAATGAGGAAGGATTTTGTTTCAGGATGTGTTGGGTGTAGGGAAGAGAGAGTAAGAAATCAAAGAGTTTGTGACACCCACAAAAGACCAAGGTTGGCCTACTGATTTCTTAACCTTAGCTCTGTTGAAAAATGGATGTTAAAAAATGCTGTGCAAACCTAATACACTGCGGGGCTGCAGGTGAAGAGCAGAAACTGAGCTTGTCCTTAATCTGGGTGGTTCTTGTTTGTAAGTTTCTTTTAAAACCTCCTTACTATTTACGTTTGCCTAATGGGGAGCTCTGGTAGCATAGTGCCTAAGGCACTTGACTGCTAACCAGAAGGCTGGCGGTTCAACCCCACCAGCCACTCCTCGGAAGGAAGATGGGGCAAT